AGAGCCACAGGCAGGCTATGAATGTGAGCGCTTCTGGCAGGGAGTCAATCAGAACAAGCACAGTGGACAGTGGACCTGGGTCACCCACTTGATCTCCTTAGCTAGTATGGCTAGGGACAGGTACAGGGGGAGAGGCGGGTGGTGATGGTGGCTGGGTATGTAGTCTCATTCAGGACAGGCAGGTGGGCACAGTCAGGTCTTATCAGAATCTCATCTAGCTTAACTGGGACAGGACAATGAAGCCTAGCGTCTCCACTCTCTCTGGGAAAAGAGGTCAAATGAGAATGCACTACAGGGAAAAATGTTTAACCTACTTGTAAGACACAATGACTTGCAAGGGCTTTAGCATATCTGTTTTACTTACCAATGTGCAATTATGTGCTGTTCTTGACTGTTCATTACAGTGGATCCCCATTTATTGAGCTCTCTTAAATCCATTCTCTCAGCCTCAGACTAGACAGAAAACCCCATTCCTCCTCACACAGTCAGAGGATGGTTCTGAAATTTCTTCCTGATGCCATGGGACTCTCAAGTCCCTTATGCAGCACTCACATCCTTCCTGTCCTGTACCCTCTGTTTTAACAAGGCCTCTCTATAATCCCTGTGTGGCCACTCCAGCATTTTTGGCCCACTTCTATATGCCTAAGTTCCACTCCTTCGCAAATGAATTCTATTTCAGTCCCCCCATCCTCCCAAAAGCCTTTTCTAGATATTCTAGTCCAAACTAAAGCCAGTTTGGGCCAAACCAGAAAGGGGCTGAGGGCAGCCTAGTCTTGCAGGCTCTGCCAAAGATAGGAGAAGGGGAAAGGACACTTGACTTGGAGCTGTGTGGGTTGGTTGCCTAGTCATTGCCCCGAACTCACAAGGAACTGGGGTGGGTTCTAGAAACCTGGGCTAATGCTCCCAGGATCCTTAGTACTGAGTTGAGGAGGGCAGGTCTGAGCCCTGGTGAGCACTGCTCAGTTGGCCAAGGGTAAATGTGGGCTCTGGCAATGTCTGACAGGGATCCTCGGGCCCTACAAGCTATGTGTATGGTAAGCAGAGTGAAGCGTAGAGTCAGGTCTTATTTCTGCACAGGGGCTGTTTATGTGGGGCAGGGTACTACACCTCATTGAGTCTGTTTTCTCCTGTGTAAAATGGTAATGGTCTCAGTTGTTTGGAGGGTTGTATAAAGTAGGTAAGATAATTTATGTAAAGTGCCTAATGCATCAAATTGTATGTGTTCCAGAAACAGCAGCTCTTATGTAAGTCTAAATAATAAATAATAACAATTCCAAATCTCTAGCTCCACCGATTTCTGTGTGCAACTTTGAACAAATTCCTTATTAGCTCATCTGCTTCCTCATCTGTAAAATAAAGATTGTGGTTCATCCATTTATTCAATAATTACTGAGCAACTTATTATGTGTTGGGTGCAACTAAATCTGTCATTTAGTGTTAGCTAAAAAACATGGCACAGTGCTTGGCATATTCTAGGTGGTTAATAAATGTCATTTTCTTACACAAGTTCCAGCTGGATGATGGAAGATAGATAGAGGGCGGCAGGGGATGAGGTGAGGGATGGAGCAAGGGAATTTAGGAGGGGTAGTGGTGGAGATCTGTGTCTGCCTTGAATTCCCAGCTCCCCCAGCCCTTGTCCCTTCCATTGACAGGGTCTCACTTTGTCTCTAAGGGTGGGGGATGGTGCTGGGGCCTCTGAATAGTTTGTCCCCCTTTCTGTTCCTTGGTCCCATCAGACCTCTGTAGACTACATGGTCTATCCCTTGCCTGTAAATGGAGACAATGAGGTCTCCTCATTCTCAGACATTGGAGACACTGCAATGTGCCCACCTCATTAAAGTGGTATCAGGCTGAGGAACTTCCCTCATTCCTCCCAATTCCAGAGTGGTCTCCTTATCAAACTGGCCCCCTATCTCATGCTCCTGGCTTCTTTTCCAGGGACCACAGGCTGGACTCACCATCACCTCTGGCTTCTCAGCACCGAAGCCCCACACCTCTTTGTTTTGACTTTTCTCAGCTGCTGGGCCACACCAGATCAGACCCTCCCAGGGAGTTGTGTGTATGTATGTATACAAACAATATGAGACCTGGCACATAGGAGGCCTACAATAAAAGCTGATTGAATGAATGCTCCCTCTGCAAATGGGGCTCATTCATTCATTCATTCATTCATTCTGCAAACATTTTATTTAATACATAATCCATTTGGTGCCAGGCTCTGTGTCAAGGGCCATCAATAGTAGCCAAGTTCTCCAAAGAATGAATGGAATTCACAGGTTTTCTGCTCCCAATACCCACATCCCACCAAAGGCCCATCTGGCTCTCAGACCCCAGCCCCTCCCACACCCCCAGAGACCAGGGCACTGTCTCCACCAGGGATATGACTATAGCATGTTTGAGTACCAAGTCACTGAGTTTGGAATCAATCCTGGTGCCATACCTATCCTGTGCCCTTAGGCAAGTTACTAACTTCCCAGAGCTTTAGGTTCCCCATCTGGAAAACAGATGTAAATATAATTGCTTATCTCATATTTGCCAAGTGGGATAAATGCAGTAAAGCATATGCTTAGGACATGCCCACTGCATAGTAGGTGCTCAATAAACATGAGCTATTATGATTATGACCCCTCCATAGCACTGCTTGTCACAAGTCTGAACTCACAGTAGATGGTCAGTAAAATAAGACTTCCTGTAAACAGGGAGATCTGATGGGACATTCTGGGTAAAGAAACCCAGAAACTGGCAAAGAGCTGGTGAAGAGCAGTGAGAGACTACCTGGAGGGGCAGGTAGGTCTGGAAGAAATCCCCAGGATGTCTGTGTCTGCCTCCAGGTCAGGGAGCTCACTACTCTGAAGCAGTGTATTTTGTGCTTACCAGCTCTGATAGTCACAGTTCTTTGCATAAGTGACCACATTCTGTCTTTCAAGTCATAAGAAAACTCCAGGAACCCAGGAGTGAGGCTCAGACTAGTTGTGGCATATATACAAGGGTACTCAATTACTTTTGGGGCCTTTGAAACCTATGCTCACTTCAATACCTACTTTCCCCTCTTTCAGGACACTCTCACACTACTGCCCCATTTGGAGCAAGTAGCCAGGTGTTGGGAGTTAGCCATAGCCACATGAAATCACACAGAGAGAAGTGGGGTTGGGTCTCTCAGGAGAGAACAATGCCTTCCACAGGGTTCTCTCAGTTTCTTCCTGGTGAAATGCGTTCTCTCTGCAGATTTTTTTATTTTTATTTTTACTGTTGTAAAGCTGTGAGACAAACAATCTTGCCACTGGAGAGCAAAAATGCATCCCAAAGCTAGATGCATCCATACCTGGGCAGGGCCTGTCCTTCTTCACTGTCAGGCAGTGCAGGACCCAGCCGGCCATCCTTCAGGGGAGCCCCTGGCATACATTCTTTGAAGCCAGGGTCCTATCACTAATCAATACCACTGCTCAAGAGTTTACCTGGGACTGAGGGAGGAGTTCAGACCTCTTATTCTCAGGCCTTGGCAGGAACAGCTTCCCTGTGTTTCCACTCTGGAGGCTACACTCTGGCTGGCCATTTAGGGCCCAAGGAGAGATCCCAACACTGCAGGGCAGGCCTTCTAGGCCCGGCCCGTCTCATTCTGATAGTATCCCTGGCAACTGCCCCAAACTGGGGGCTGGACAGTACCTCTTTTGCCATGCTCTCCTGGGTGCTCTTCTGACAGTCCCTGGCAGGCTGTACCTCTGCTTTCATTGAATGTGCATCAGGGAGGCCCTGAGCAGTGACATCCTTGCACTGCCATCACTTCTTCCTCCCTGCTCTGAGCTATTGGAGACCAATAACTCGTGGAGACCATAAAGCTATGGCCCAGTTGATGGCAGTGGCTTCTTTCCCACCCCACTCCAGGGATCTCAGCCCTGGAAAACACTGAAATCTGAGTTGGGGCGCCACTGACCACGTCCCCATCTTGTTGAAGCCCCACAGCAGTTGGTGAGGTAGATGAACATTACCAGAACCCCTTCATAGATTAGGTAGATAGGCTCAGAGAGTCAAATGGACTTTCCCAAGATCACACAGCTACTAGATAGCAGAGCCAGATATAGTGGAAACCATGTGCTCAAGGGGGGAGAGGGGGAGCGGAGGGGCACAGGCTCTGTGACCTTGGGCCAGTTACTTCTCTGAATCTCTCTTCTCATTTGAAAAATGGAAATAATAATACTTCCTGTCTTGTCAGGCTACTGTGAAAATTAAATTAGATTATGCCATAGGATGTATTTAGCATAGTAGCAACATGGAGATCTGCTCAGTAAATGTGGCAATGGTTGGGATTATTAGCCCAATGATATTCAGATGCTGTCTCTGTTTGAACCATGCCCCAAATTAAGCTTTGGTACCTCTAGGCTCCCATATGTCTTTGTTGGTGTCATTCATGACCTGCCAAAGTGAACTCAGGGTCCCAGTATGGAGGAGCAGTGGTAGAGTGGGGCCATTAGATTCCTTCCTGGGGCTGCCTGCCTGCTGACAGGTCAGAGGCCTATCTCTGGCCCATGGTGGCTGCTACCTGTTTTCTCACATGGACCTCAGCAGCACTCCGGGCCTTGCTGGGGCTTTGCTATGAGTCTTTGATCTCTGGAGGACAAGGCTGAGCAGGGAGCTACCCACTTAGTGATGCCACTCAGTCTCATGCACATCATGCCCTGGCTTTGGACACTGCTCCTTCAGAGTCTGCCTCCTGCAGATGAATCCCTCCAGGATATGGTCCAGGCCAGCAGCCTGACATTTGGACACCCCCTTCAGGAGCACTGCAATGGGAAGGAAGGTTCTAGACACACTTCGTGGAACCAGAAGGGAAGTAAGATGAGCTCTGAGAAAGCTTTGGGGCCTGTGGGACTGGATACTCAGTATTTTAAAATTTTATTATTACTGTGTTTGTTTAAATATATATGTGTGTGTGTGTGATATATATATATATATGTGTGCGTGTATGTGTATATATATATATACTATATATATATATATATATATATATATATATATATATATATATATATGACTTTATATACCTCCCCCCACCCAATCCCAGTCCCCTCCGACCCTTAATTTTTCCCTTTGGCTTTCTGTCTGGAGGCTGTGTAGGGAAGCACTGTCTGCGTGCTCTTGTCTGACACTGTTTGGGTGCTGCTGTTCCTCATGATCCTTCGCGTCTGCTCAGGGGCCAATGAGCATTGTCCAGTCAGTGTAGGGCGCCTTGGCTTGTTGGGGGCCGGGGAGGTCTTGAGGGGGCCCACATGGGTCTCTGTATTGGGAGGCTCTGGTGACAGGCCCACCTCCTCCTCTGCTGCTGTCTCCTCACCATCCCCCTCTTCATCGTCACAGCACAAAGCATGGTAGAGCACTTTGTCACTGAAGCGCACTCTCTCCCGTGTGCCTGGGGTTCGCTGGGGCAGTTGCCCCTTGAGAGGGCCGGTGCTGAAGGCCTCCTCACTGGAGGAGTCTGGAGTCTCCACCCGTGGCCCATTAGGAATAGGCATGCCACCGTTCATGAGTCGGCAGTCTGAACCAGCCCCTGGTTGTGTTGGTTCAGGGGCATCCATGGAATCTGAAGGGGTAGAGACATCCAGGAAGGAGCAGAACTCCCAGCTGTCTGAGAGGATGTCAGCTGTCATGAAGTCCAGGTGGCCCAAGTCAAAGGGGCCACCTACACCGGCCTTGTCGCTGCTAGAGGTACTGCTCACAGTGGCTGTGGTCCAGTCATCTGGCTCCAGTTCAAAATCGAAGTCTGAGGTTAACTTGTCTATCTGGCTCACCACCTGTCCAGGGAAGGGCAGAAGCATTAGAGCAGCCAGGCCAGACTTGGCATCACATAGGTGTGAGCATGTGCCCCCCTCCATGACATCCTCCCTGATGATGTCCCTACAGGATGGCAACTGGACTTGAGGTCACAGGCTTGTTTGCTCTGTGAAAGGCCCAAACTGGACCAGGGTGAACAGAGCTTGTTTTTCATTCCTCAGTCTCTTGGGTGGAGGAGGGACTGTCTTCTAGACTGTACTCCATCCATTCACATAGCCCTCTCCCCCTAGCCAGCTGCTGTTCTGAGGGGAGAGGTATAGGGGGTTACAGGCTCTGGTGCTCAGAGCTTGATCTTCCTATGACTGAAAAGGCTATTTAAAGAGGGTGGTTAATAGATGAAAGGATTAGTGTAGTAAAGGTTAAAGGGGGCCAAGTATATAGTGATGGAAGGTGATTTAACTTTTTAGGGGGGGGCACACATTGCAATATACAGATCATGTATCATAGAAATGTACATTTGAAACCTATGACCCTATTGACCAGTATCACTCCAATAAATTTAATCAGAAAATGAAATAAAAAATAAAGAGGGCTGAGAGACTCCAGGAAACCCACTTAGTGGAGAGGTGGGAAAATGATATGGGGTGCTCTGAGGAAGCATTCTGGGCCAGCCTGTGCAGCTGGTCAGTGACTGTCCCTCAAGGGTCTCCATCACTCCACCCCTACCCCTCAGAGCCTTCTCCCTCCTTCCTCTCCCTGGTCTCTGATGACTGGAGATCAATCCTGGCTTGTTGGGGAATGAATAAAACAAGTATTATTTGGTAAGCAATAAAAACAACCCCATCCATTCTGGGCCCAGAGGTGCCTGTTAAATGCACTTGGGATGGGAGGGGAGACAATTCAGCTGCAACCTGTCCACTCTACAAAGACTAAAGCTCTGACTCCATGCAGGCAGCCCTGCCAATGGACATCCCCTGACCTTGGCCACTGTCAGCACTTGAGTCAGGAATGAAGATAATAGGGAAAGGAGAATCAAGAAGAGGAGAGAGTCTTCAGGCCAAAAACAAAAATAGCAAAACATCAAAAGCAAAGTAGAGGAACCAAGAGACCCAGAGACAAAGGCATATGCAGTGAGTCACAAGCCCAGGGCCTCTCCCGGTATTCTTACCTGGAGTCAGATCAGCCAGTTAATTGATTACCTAATCAACAAAACTTTATTGAGGACCACAACTGTCCAGAGATGTGCTAGGTATTTGGTGAGGAGTGGGGGTGAGGAATGCCCCACAGCAAAAGAAGAAAGCAAAGACAAAACTGAGGGGTCAAGAGGAGTCTGGGTCACTGGGATGTCTTCTTGGTTAGGGGGTCAGGAGACTCCATGCAGGTGACCTGGTCAGTTAATTTCCCACTTAGGTCTCAGTTTCTCAATCTGTAAATGGGAGTTGAGTGAACTGGTTGATATCCAAGGTTCCTTTCATCGCTGTGATCTTAGGAAAGGGTTCTGTAGGGCATTGGCGATAAAAGTGATATTATCTCCCATCTCTGAGCACCTACTTATGTGTCAGACTTTCCACCCATGAGATCATAGATAATGGGCCTGAAGCGCCAGTCAATGGGGAAGCTGAGATTACTGCCTTCGCCACACCCCTGCAAGACTGCACACTGCTCCAAGTGCTACTGTGATTTCTGGGGATGAGTAGGCAATGGGCATAGGGCTCCACCCTCCAATCTGGCCACCTCTTCTATGTCTCTCACTCCAGTGACTCCCCCTACCACAGAGAAGGTCATATCCCCCAGGAGTCCTTGCTCAACCCAATCCACACCTGAGGGCTGATAAGGACCCTGGCCTCAAACTAGAATGTGTATCAGCCCACTCTCCAGAGTTTCTGATTTTTCAGGTTTTGGGTAAGGTTTGAGAAAGTATAGATCTAACAGGCTTCCCTGTGCTGCTGCTGTTGGTCTGAGGACAAAGTCTGAGAACCACTAACCAAGGTACCTGATATTTAAGCTGATGAAGAAATAGCACCCCACAGCATTGCTGCTTCAGAAGTGTCCTCTCGCTGCTGGGCAGCCACACCCTCCAATTACACTCCCCAGAGCAAGCTAGCTGCTGATAGTCTGCTGCTGCACTAGAGAAGGCAACAATAGCAGGAATCTGGAGTTAAATTTCCTGGCTGTAGGGGCACAGATTTGGCTGAGGCTAGGCCAGGCCCAGAAGCTAGGCTCCTAACGTCCTGTGAGGAAGATCCAGGGAGCACAAGGCAGGATTTCTGAAGCCTTCAGGCCTGAACATACCCCCCATCCAAGAGACCCTTCTCAGGTGGCCTTCACATTCAGGCCCTTCCTCTCCTCCCTTAGAACACCCTCTCTGGTTCCACCCTGGGGGTGTGGGAGAAGTCTCATTTTCCTCCCCTATAAAGTGGGATGATGCTCTTTGCCTCATCCAGTTGGTGGAGATTTAATAGATATGAATGTGCATTAGACTGCAGAGTCAGCACATATAAGCATCTAAGAATCTGGGCTCTGGAGCCACACCTAGGGTCCAACCTTGGCATCATAACTTACTAGATTTATTACCTTAGCCAGGTTGCTCAATGTCTCTGTGCGTAAGTATCCTCAGCCAAGGAGAATCCTAATAGTACCTACTTGTTAGGCTGTTGCGATGATTAATGATGTGATGCACAGAAAGCATGTAAAACAATATCCACCATGGACATTGAGAGCCAACATGTAACAGGTACCAGCCCCAAGAGCTGATGGAAACCAGTTCTTCTCAAAGGAATGACACTCTGATGGGGATGTTTCCAGTGCCTGTGGCAGAATAATGGGACATGTTGGGCCTTTCAAGCCCCAACACATGGGTGGAACCTATGTTCCGTGAAGTAGGGCTGTTTCCAAATGGAAACAGAAGGGGTTCTAAAAGCCAAATGGTTGAGGCTCAGAAGAAAATCTGGCTCAGTTCATTAGGTGGTGTAGTTCAAACATACTTGATAAATGACATAAGTAAGGATCAGAAAGGGAAGTGAGATGCTCAGGGTACCCAGATTATATGCAGAGCCTGGTCAGTCCATAACTCTACCTGTCCTTGGTGCCCCTCATTTCATGGGGCCCATGGGAGGGCAGGAGTCAGGCAGGCCCTAGGCTACCTGCCTCTCTGGATGTCTTGAAGTCTGTAATTTCTGCCTGAGATTTAATAATCATTTTGCCTGCATGTAACTTGAGACTGTCTTAGAGTACAGGCAAAATATCTATATACACAGAATAAAAGAGGGGAAGTGGGGGAATGGAGAGAGAAATGAAACCATAAAAATCACAGAATCCTACCACCTCAAAGCCAGAAGGGACTGGAGACACTGTTGAGACCACCCTTCTTACTGTGTTTAGTGATAGGGAACTGAGGCCCAGCGACTATAATGAGCTGACCTGAGACCAGAAGTCAGGAGTCCTGACTCCTGGGCCTGATCTTTTAAGAACATGAATTACCTACTCAAGAGGAGGCAAGAGGGAACACTTGAGAGAAGGGCAGGAACGAGGGCTGAGACAAAATCCCCCGGGGAGGCCCAGGTCCTGACTCAGCCTCTGTCCTGGTCACAGCTTTAGCTCCCCTCATCTGAACAACTGCATCCACACTCATCTAGTCAAAAAGTCAACAGGACCACGACACCCATCCACTTCTAGCACTCCTGTGCTCCCCAAACTTATGGACCTCCAAACACTGCCCACACCAAGCCTGTCTCCTTACCACACCTACACACATACACCCTGAGTTCACTTCTGCCTCTGGGCCTCACCTGAACGCCTCACACCTTTCTTACTCATTCTATCTCACTTCCTATGGAAGTCCTCCTTGATCCCCAGTTGAGAACAGGTTTCCTATGAAAGGCTCTCAAAGTACCTCATACCTTTCCTTAAAATATTATCTAGTATTTATCACTGCTACAATATTTTGAGCATATAGGTTACAATGTGGTTGATATCTTCTCCTCATAAGGAGTGGGCCTGGAAATGCACCACCACCATGCATCCCCAGTTTGGCAGAGATTGGTACTCTTTACAATACAGCCATTAAATGACTAGATGGGTTGAGGTATCTCAATAAAAATTGCTGGGAAGTTCTTTTCTGAGAAAATGTGCCATGGTCCCGGACACCACAATATTGCCTGCCCCAGCCCCAGCTGCCTCTCCAAGAAAAGCATGGATGTGTTCCATCAAACCCTAGAGTCAGGACCAAGGACTGGGGAATCTACCTCTATTTCCTGTCTCCCCCTCCCTCCCCACCTCTGGCCCCTCACTTTTCTTGACAAGTTGCTACCTCCTTCTCTTCTGTCTAGCTCCCTGGGCAGCTGATTATATAACTAGGGATTCTGCAATATTTATGACAACTGATTACTTTTTAATTCTGTGATTACGTTATTTATCTTCCTGGGGGCTGTGAAATTGGGAAGGGGGAGAGAGGTGACTGTGATTTTTGACTCTCATTATGCAATTTGGCCTAATTGGCCCCGGAGCTTTGTGAATCTGTCTGGAGGAGGAGGATGCAAAGGGAAAAGGGAGGTGAAAAGAAGAAAAAATCTGCACAATTCTTGCTGAGCTGTGGGTGATGGAGCTGACCCACTTTGGCACCACTCTGTGATCCCCAGCCTCTCCTGCTCCAGCTGCCATGTGGCTGGGCCACATTTATCTCCTGCTGTATGTCCCATGGCTCTCCTGGCTACCTCATATACAGCACCTTGCTGATGGGATAGCACAATTGCATGAGCCTCATTCCCAAGAAAATCAGGTGTGTGTGTGTGTGGGGGGGGGGGGGGAGGGTCTTCATTGCCACTCCAGGCTGCAAAAGGGTTTTGCCTGCCCTTCACCCTCTGGAGGTGTTCAGACCAAGGTGGGCAACTGTGCCCTTAAGTTATATCCTGCCCAATCGCCAGTGATGGTGTGAGGGATACTAGTGGTCAACACAGAACATTTTTAGTCCCATGCTGAGTGACATCTTGGGGGAGGGGTAACCAAGAGGGAGGTCAAGTACCTATTCAAGGTAAGCTCAACATTTGGGGGGCCAAGAACAAGGTCCTATACCCCTGCCCTTGTGGGCTCCCAATTAGTAGGGAACTGGGAGAACGGTGGAGAGGCAGATTCCCACAGAGAAACACAATGAGATTCCTGGAGAGTGTGTGGGATTCTTATAGGATAAAATCCAAATTTTGTACTGTGACCTGCATGCCCTGTGTGCCCTGGCCTCCTGCTCTCCTTCCCTAGTTCCCTCTGCTCCAAATGCATCAGCTTCCTTGCTGATCCTGACTATGCCAAGGATACTTCCTTCTCAAGACCAGCTGCTCCCCCTGCTTGGAGGCTCATTTCCAGATATCCATATGACTTGTATGTATCCTCACTTCCTTTGGGTCTTTGTTCAAACGCCATCTCTTTGGAGATCTGCCTCCCAACCCCATCACAACCCCTTTCCTTCGCCAGAAGAGGGTAGGACTGCCTGCTGCGGGCCCTGGGCCTGACCTCCCTGATAATGGCTAAGATGCCAATGTGACTCCAAAAGAACAAGGGCTTACACAGAGCTGAGGAGCAGGCTAGTGCTAGAACAGTCATCAATAATATCTAACAGATATGGAGCTAGTTTTGTGCCCATCACCGTGTGAAGTACATTGTATATAATATCACATTTAATCCTCACAACCACTGTAGAGCTGGTGATGATGAGGAGGCATACTATTCTGTATTTTCATTTTAGAGACGCAAAAGAAAAGCACAGAGAGGTAAAGTAACTTTCCTAAGTACACACAGCTAAGAAGGCAGTGAAGATCATATGTGAACCAGAAACATTTGGCTGCAAAGCCCAAGCTCAGCCCCTAGGCTGTACTGCTTCTCCAAATTATGATCCACAGAATTCTGAGGAGCTTAGAGAGCCTGCTGGGATTGGCTTAGCACCTGGAGTGCTGGGGACTTAGGAGAAATGAAGGCTAGCTAATTATTGACTCATATCCTCTGCAGCACAATTTTTGCTTTCAAGACACTTTTATATTCCTCACCTCACTTAGTCCATAAAAATATTTTCCCAATCATGGGACAGAACTTTCCTCCTATCCCTTGGGGAGAGTCAGGAGTTTGGGGAAACAGGAGATGCATGGGAGAGGGAACTCCAAATCTTTCAGGGGTGTGAGTAGGTGTTGATCCCCCAATATGTCCTTGTAAGATCACTCTGAAGTATGATTATCATCACTCCCATTTCAGAGATGAGCAGACTGAGGCTCGGGGGCCTGGGGAACAGTGCTTTAGTGCTGCTCATCTTTCTATGATGCTCAAGAGGATGAGGAGACTCTGCTATGATCCATGGCATGTGGGGAAGGGAGCAGCAGATGGAGGAGGATAGCAGAGGCAATATAGCTAAGCCCTTCCTCTCTGCCAGCCTTCCTCCCTTATCAAGCACCCTGCACTGCCCTCTGGCAGTCTTGTATGTAAATCCTGGCTTCACATCTAAGTGCTTCACCCTCTAGAGAACAGAATTCAGTTGGTGAAGTCTGTGCTGTGCTGCCCATCATGCCATCTCTAGGACCTGCCTAGGGGATGGGGAAGCTCTGAGACCTGCTCCCCCCACACCCCCTTCCCAGCTGAGTGCCATTGGCAGCAGGCAGGTGGTAGCACACAGGGTAGATTCTGGTTGCCATAGCAACCTGTCAGAGTTTTGGGTGGAGGCACATGGCCTATAGTGGGTAATGGGGGGAGGGAACTCATCTTTCTCTGTCCTGGCTCAGGCCTCTGGGTTGCACAGTACATGAACCTGAAGCTCTGCTGTTCAGGACATGGGAATGGGTTGAGAGTGTGTGCTGAGAAGAGAGGGAGAGGATATCTCAAAAATCTGCAAGTAAATCCTAGTGCTTCTGATCTTCCTGCCTCACTCCCCAAAGGGCATCCCCCCAGAGTATCACAGGATGAGCATAAGGTCTCATGTCTAGAAGGTCCCTAATGAAATGGAAAGAGGTTGCCCACCTGTTGAAGCTCCAGAGCAGGAATCAGGACCCGAGTTCTACTGAGCACTCCTGGTAGGCTCTGTGACCTTCAACAAGCCCCTATCCCTCTCTGGGCCTCAATTTCTTCATCTGTAAACGGATAGGCTGGTCTGGATGACCTGTGTGATGCCTTCAAGCTCTGGTTGGTTCTGTTGGGAGTGAGGGTTGGGGTGGGGGTGGGATGAGCAGATGCCTGCAAGATGCTTAGCTGGTCAGTTGGGAGTAGGCTCTGTACTACAATATATCAAAACTGAGCCCCAGGCTTAGAATCCATCCTAGTTCTTTCTGGGTAGGCCTGCTGGGGCATAGGTCCCATGGCTCTGCTCAAGACAGAGACTCTCGACAGTTCCCATGACTGATGGAACCACAGAACATCTGAAATAGATGGGGTTGGGGAGGTATGAAGTGGAGATGGTAGTCCTTCGGACCAATGAGGAGTTACTCATAGGCATTGACCACTAAATTGGATTCCCCAGAGATGTTCAGCCCACACCCCAGCCAGTCCAGTTCATGGGCAGAAGCACCACACCTCTCTCTTCCTGTCTCCTGAGGAAGGACTTCATGGCAGGCTCCATGAGGCTGACTCTGGGCAGAGAGGCTGCCTGCCCAACCTTAGTTCCTGGACCAAATCTCCACTCTGAAGATTCAAACACCCCTGCTCCTTAACTCTTGGGCCAGGCTAGAAGACCACTTTGCCAGTCTGGAGTTGGTATCTACCACCACCCCTTTCCTCAATCTTCCTAGAGCCCCCATCTCCCTACACATCTGGCTGGGAAAGTCTGAACCCATAACTCCAATTCAGTCACTCTCCCTGCCATCTCTGCAGGGGCCCTGGTTACAAGGAGTTGAAATTTGCCTAAAGCCCACCTATTGGCTGGCATAATGGTACTCAGGCCAATGGCTCAGAACCATGGTCATCATGCATTTTGGGCTCAAACACAGTCCAGGGGGCAGGAGCAATGTGGGAAGTGTTAAGTAAATCGGGCTCTACTTGGAGGGACACACATCCTAGGCTCTCTGCGTGACTTTTCAATCTTGGCCAAAAATGTTCAGAACGCGGGATGGGGATACATCTCTTTAGAGTACATTCCTGCCCCTGCCAGTGTACATAGGAACTCTTGATACCCACTAGCAGCTCCCTAGACTCATTTCTACCTCAGGGCAGGGAGGACCTAATTTTTTCAGGATCAAGTGTTCTGTAACATCTGGGGAATGCTCCAAGCAGTGGGGACTGCCTCATTAAACCATCTACACTCTCCCAGGGCCCCTTGTGACCAGCAGGTGGTGGGGTCAAAGGTAAAAGCTTAGGCTTCTGAAGAGATTATTGTGGAATTCAGTCCTTATTGGCTATCTTGGCAGATGAATCATAACCACAGAGCCATGGGCCCATTACATGCTGTCCAAATGCTCTCTGCAACACTGAGATCCCCTCCTCCCCTGAGCTATTGTGAAATTTTTAGCAGAGCAGACTTGGAGAAAGGAGAACAAGACAGAGGTACCCAGCAAAGTGGCCTGTGCGTGCACACCCGCACACACACACACACACACACAGACATAGATGCCAGAGTATGTTTTTGTGCCAGGCCCAGGAAAACTGGTTTAGGGTCCATCTGGCCCCTCACTCACCTCCCTGAGCTCCTTGGCCACTTCCTTGAGCTCCCGTAGGATGCCCTCCAGCTGTCCGATAACCATCTTCATGCGCTGTCGAATCCGCTCACGTTCACCACCACTGCTGGGGTCGACACTGGGCTGCCCGAGGTCTGGGGTGCCCCGAATGTTCATCCTTCACCACGTGGCTGCAGGCCTGCCCATACTCCCCCCAGCCAGGCACACACTGCGTCTGCCTCCACAGAGCCCCCCTCAGCCAGGCAGTGCTCCACATCTTAACGGCCCCCCAGCCTACGCTGGCCCTGGGTGGCCCTCACCCAGCCCCTGACTCCTGCCACCCCGCTTCCTTTGCCTCTGGATGGGGAATGGAACACCCAGAAGGAGACAGAATCTGACCCAAGGGGCCAAGATGAGGACATAGAAGGGGAGGGAGAGGGGGCTTCGGTCTCAGGAGGCCTTCAGGACTTGAAGTGCCTATAGGTATGCTAGACTGATATCTAGCTGAATCTGGACACAGAGGCAGGGGGATGACTCTGCAGGGACTAAGGGTAAGAGATGCCCTTGGGATTGGGCAAGGCAGCACAATCCCCTCACGATTCTTGGGCAGTTGCAAAGGCAGAGGTCTCTGGTTGCAAGTGACATCTGCAGAAGAACTGTGCCTGGGTTCTTCCAGCTGTGGAGGGGGCTCCAGATGTGGACAGCTCTGGGAAGGGAGCTGGACTGGAGGAGGGCAGCCCCCTGCAGAGAGAGCAAGCCTGGCATCAGCCCTCCCAGGCTGCAGCATCAGCCAGCAATGCTGCTGCCTCCATACTCTTCACAGCCAGCACCCTTCCTCGCTGGGGATTTGTTTTTCTTTGTGGGAAAAGATGGTGGAGGCATATGGCCTACAGCACAGCCTCTCTTTGGGAAGAAAGAGGGAGCCCCTGCTTTTGAGGCAGAAGTCCTCAGCCTGTGATGGGGCATAGAACACCAAGTCCCCCAAACACCCCTCCCAGCCAGGCCTTGCTCTGGAGGTTCACCAGAGGGTCTCTCCAGTCTCAGTCCTCCCTCATAGCGCCCCCAGAGTGCCCTCGTTCCCAGCAGACCCTCCCTTTTCCAGCCCAGCCTTCCCTTAGAACCCCCGGACTCACCGAGGGTGGGGGCACCAGCCTGCCTTCCGAGTAGCGTGGGGGCCAAGCCCCAAGATGAGGTTGGGGGAAGGGGGCAGGCTCCCTAGGGTGGGCTTCTTTCTCTGGACCCTTCAGCCCCTGGCCTCAGGGAGGTCTTCAGAGCCGCCCCGGAAGACATATGGGCGGTGGGAGTGGCAGGGCCTCCGCGCTCCCTGACTGGGGGCAGGAAAAATGTCCCTCAAACCCCGTCAGGCGCCGGGTGAGGAATGGGGAGAAGGGTCTGATGAGTCTGGGGCTCTCAGGCCACAGGTGACCCGGGCGTAGGGCGTCCCGGTGCGTGAGCCAAAGTAGCTGGGATCGGGGGGCGCCGGGATCCCCTCAGACCGCGCCCGGCATCCCCGGGCTCTGTACGGTCCAAGCTTCGCTCGGCCCAGTCCAGAGCGGTATGAGCCGGCACCTCTGGGTGCCCCGGACGCACTCAGCCCGGGCCCAGGCTGTCCGCGCTTCCGCACCTCGGCGCCCCGAGGGTCCGAGCAGCCCAGCCCCGCGCTCGGCCGGTGGCCAGAGAGCGCTGCCGCCGTCCTCCGCGGCCCGGGAAAGGCCGAGGGACTGGTCCCCGCTGCCCGGCCCGGAACGCGCGGGCGAGGGGCCCGGCCGGCTGGGCGGCAGCCCGGGCGCAGGCGGGAGGGGCGCGAGGCGGCGGAGAGGAGGCGACCGGAATGGAGGAGAAGGCTCGGCGCGGCTAGGGGCGGGGGGAGAATGCGCGACGGCCCAGCCGGCAGGAAGCACCGGGTTCGCAGCCCGAGACCAGCGGCCGCCGCCTCCCGCTGGCTCCCACCCGCCCGCCGCCTCCCAGCCCCCGGCGCCGGGCCGCTGCCGGAGGGGCACAGGCGCCGCCTGGGGCTGGGCCTCCCTCCGAGGCCTCGCCCTGACCTGCCCCGGGCCCGGGCTCCGCGGGCCCGGGCCGCTCCTCGAGGGTCGCCCCGCGCCTCCGGCGCCCGGCCACCTCCCGCCCCCACCGGATGGCTGCCCAGCGGGTGCTGCTCCCTCCCAGACCCCGGGCTCGGCGGCCCCGCTCGCTCGGCGCCGGCAGAGAAGGGCCGCCCCGCGCGGGGAGGGAGCTTTTAAAGAGACACACACGCCTCCCAGTGCCGAGCGCGCGTGCTGAGCGTGGTTCTCGCCACCTCGGCTGTGGGGAGATGTCCTGCGCTGGCGGGGCTGGAGGCGGACTAGCCCGGCTGGAATCCGCTGACCTCGGGGCATGGAGGGACAGCAGGCTATAGACTTAACCCTTTTCCACCTTTCCAGACACCCCCAGTACCCCTTCCCCCACCGCCATGCACCCCTCGCTTTCCCTTGGCTAAATTTCCCGCATCCAGACCCTTTCCTTCTATCACACTTCAAACTACCCCAGACATTGCCTTACATCAGATTAATTTAGGAAACAAAACATGGGCAACTTTTACTGGGCACCTCCGCAGATGACAGATAAGTCTAACGGTTAGACACTCAACATTTATTCAGCTCCCCTGTGTACCATGCCCCATATACTAGACTAGGGTACAGGAAGGAAAAAGCAACATTTTAGGAAACTCACAGCTCCTGGGAAACACTCCGGAGTAAAAGGAAGGGTGGTAAACACAGGACAAAAGCAAGTTCTTGAAGCAATTGGTGAGTGGCGAGGACAGCTGGGAAGGCCAGGAGCAACCTCTCCTGGGAAGCAACCCTGAGCTGTAGGAACTAGAGGTGACAGCTAGCCAAGCCTTACCATTGTGAGGGAGGCAGGGCTGGGGCTGAACATTCAAGGCAGTAAAGGGGAGGAACAGCAGGGCTCAGATGCAGAAGTGAGGGGAGTTTCAACTGTGGCCTTTTAGAAATACCGTTTTGACAGCTCTATGGAACTTAAACTCTAAGGACAGAGATTGTTGTGCTTCCATCACCAACATCCAACTCCAGAATGCTTCATCATAGAAAGCTGAAACTCTAGGGGATCGGGACGGCAGGCTGCAAGATAGTGTGTGAGTGAGAGTGAAAGGAGAGTGTGTGGATGTGCGGGGAGTGTCTGATTTGTAGTGAGGGACAGCTATATTCCAAGGAATTGTTGGGGACTGGTGGACTGGCTCCCCTGGCCCGGCAGCCTCTACTGCTGCTGAGATCTCCCCCTGAGCGGCTGCTCTGCTGCAGAGACCGCACCATCTTGAAGGGGAAAGCAGCTGTGATCCGAAGCCCAGCCTTACCTTCAAATGGGGAGACCTTGGATACCTCCCGGGTCCCTACAATCACACCCCCCATGGACAAGCTGCCTCAGCTGTGAACCCAGGAACACCAAGATTCCAGCCTCCCTGGCCACGGATGCCTAAAAAGTTTGTCCAGGAGGAGACAAAGCGGCACGGAATATGTGGACAGGCCCTGTGCCTTCTCACAGAGCAGATAGAAGGAACAGCTGGATCCAACAACATCCACCTGAAATTGGTGAATTAAACACAGCTGGTGAGGCAATCCATGGACTGAAACAGGCGTCTTCAAACTACGGCCCGCGGGCCACATGCGGCCCGCAGAGGAGCCTGATCCGGCCCGCCAGGTTTTTTGGGCAGTGAGCACAGCCAAGGTGTTACAATAGGAATTAGTAGTTCATATAGTTCGGCCCTCCAGCTCTCTGAGGGACCGTGACCTGGCCCCCACTTTAAAAAGTTTGAGGACCCCTGGCACTGAAAGGTCAGAAATTGCCTAGAGAGAGATGTGATCTGGGATCCAGGCTGGAGGGAGAAAGGCACGAAACAGGGATTAGAGTCTCAGAGGAAGACTTCAGTCCACCAATCTGCAGCCCTGTGCTAAGTGTAGCCCTCAAATGTGGAAGGGTGTCCACAGGGCTGCTGGCAGAAGGGGACCCTAAATATAAGCCCGCAGCCATAGTAAACTGTGTCCAGAAAGGCAGCCTGAAGTTCTATACCGGCCACCCAGTGCCAGGGAAAAAGATGCTAGTCAGTGCAATTACTTTGTCTTTTTTATTTTATTTTATTTATTTTTTATTTTTTACCTTGTTGCTTTTGCTTGCTAAGTCCAGTAATTAAAAACACACACCAAGACTTCAGGGGAAAGTTGTTTCTGTGGGAACTGGAGATCACAATAAGGAGAGATGAGCAGGAAACCAGCTCTGGGTAAGTCCGTCCCTCCAATCCCATCTTAAGTGTGGCAGGGAAAGAAGAGTCTAAACACTGGTTAGAGGTGGCCATTAATACAGAAACACTGCCACCCAGGGGTTGTGTCAGAAATTGACTTGTGTAAATACAGCTGAAGGCAGGCAGAGAAACAAAGTGAGCAGAGATCCTGCCTGCTTGAAAACAAGGTTGTGGCTTATGACAAACGAGTAGTGGATCACAGGGAACTTCAACATTGTGCTGACTACCTGACAGGAAATAGATGTGTGAGGCAGAACAGTAGCGGAACTGAACGACCTTCACTACTTAACTTTTTCATTTTTTATCTTTTACTTAAGAAACTAAAATATTTTTTCTTTTTTTCTCTTGATTTTACTTTTTTATTAATATATTTTTATTTTTAATTATCATTTTACCTTTTAAAAAGTTTTATTTTATTCTGGGATTGGTGTTCTACATTCTACTTTTATTTTTCTTTTAGTATTATTTTACTCTATCTCAATTTTTCCTTTATGCCAACACTTTCTTCCTCACTTTTCCTTTTTCCTTTTCCCCTCTTTCATCCTGTTTCTCTTACCCTGTTCCTGCTTTAGTTTTTCTCTATACTTTCTTTTTTTTAAATATATTTTATTGATTTCTTATAGAGAGAAAGGGAGAGAGATAGAGAGCTAGAAACATCGATGAGAGAGAATCATCAATCAGCTGCCTCTTGCACACCCCCCACTGGGGACGTGCCTGCAACCAAGGCACATGCCCTTGACCGGAATCAAACCTGGGACCCTTCAGCTCTATCCACTGAGCCAAACCGGTTTTGGCTATACTTTCTTTTTACTCCCTGTTAAAAATTGATCTTACTGATATATCTAATTTCCTGCTTCAAATCCATGCATACTTCTCTCTTCGCTTTCTTCACTAGGCAGTTTTTTCCCCCCTTTCTTTCCTCCCCTTTTCTCTTTCTGACTTGTTGTTGTTTGATGGTTAGTTTTTTTTTTGTTTTGTTTTTTTGCTTCCATTTTTCCTCTCTTCACTTATTCTCTTCTTCTACTAATAGCTTAATTACTTCCAATCACCAACTCAGGCCTATCTACTCTCTATGCTCCTTTTCTAATAATAGATGAATACATAGATAGATAGATTAAAGAAAGTATATATATATATATATATATATATATATATATATATATATATATTAACTTATATATATTCTCTTTTTTGTAGTTTAAAAAATATATAATTTATTAATTTTTTATAGAGAGGAAGGGAGAGGGATAGAGTCAAAACCATCAATGAGAGAGAAACATTTGTTAGCTGCCTCCTGCACACCTCCTACTGGGAATGTGCCTGCAACCAAGGTATATGCCCTTGATCTGAATCAAACCTTGGACCTTTCAGTCCACAGGCTGACACTCTATCCATTGAACCAAACCGGTTAGGGCTGTAGTTTATTTTTTACTTTTCTTCTTATATACTCATTCTCTTTCTATCTTCTCTATACTAAATTTTGGCCATTTCCCTATCCATCCAATTCTTTGATCTTATCTTCTGGAAATAAGCTGTGCATCCTCATATTCAGCTGAGTGTTGTTTGGGTATTGTTGTTTGCATATTTTAGATTAGTTGTTGCATTCATCTCAGAGTGTTTGTTGTTTGCATTTTTTTTTGGATTAGCTGTTGGTTTTTGGAGTTTTCATGGGAAAAATAAAAAAATATATATTTTCCCTTCTTTTTCTTTTCTCTTACATTTTTTCTTTTCTCAATATAATTTTTTATACTTTTTAAAAAATATATATATTTTATTGATTTTTTACAGAGAGGAAGAGAGAAGAATAGAGTTAGAAACATCAATGAGAGAGAGTCATCGATCAGCTGCCTCTTGCACACCCCCTACTGGGGATATGCCCGCAACCAAGGTACATGCCCTTGACCGGAATCGAACCCAGGACCTTTCAGTCCACAGACTGACACTCTACCACCGAGCCAAACCGGTTTCAGCTATACTTATTTTTATTTTTTTTATTTTTATCTCCTAATTCTCTTTTTCCTGGTGGTCACCTTTGGGGTTATTGGTATTGAGAATACATTTGTGTTTGGTTTCCTATGTGATGTGTCCTGTTGTGTTGTATTTTGTGCCTTTAAGACAATTCAGGAGAGACAGAGCTACATAACCAGACACCCTGAGAGAAGCAACCATGGGGAGACAAAGAAATAGCAAGCATATGAAAGAAAAAGAGGAATCACCAGAAAAGGAAGTAAATGAAATGGAGGTAAGCAATATGACAGAGAAAGAATTCAGTCCAATGGTCATAAGGTCACTAAAAAGGATGGAAGACAAATTCAACAATATGTTTAAGAACCAAGAGGAAATGAAGGAGAACCAAGAAGAATTGAAAAATGACATCAGTGTAATAAAGAACACAATAGAAATCATCAACAGTAGTTAGAAGAAGCGGAGGACTGCATCAGTAAGCTAGAAGACAAGGTAGAAAAAAATACCCAAGCAGAGCAGCAACTGGAGAAAAAATTTAAAAAACAGGAGGGAACATCGGAACAACATGAAACAAAACAACATTTGCATAATAGGGGTCCCAGAGGAGAGGCAATGAGCAAGGAATAGAAAACATATTTGAAGAAATAATGACAGAAAACTTCCCTGATATTGGAAAGAAGAAAAAACTCACACAAGTCCAAGAAGCTCAGAGTCCCAAACAAGGCGAACCCAAAAAGATGGACACAAAGACACATTATAATTAAATTGGCAAAATTTTAAAGGTTGCCAGAGAGAGACAGAAAGTTACCTACAAAGGATCTCCCATCAGGCTATTGACTTATTTCTCAACAGAAACACATCAGGCCAGGAGGGAATGGAATGAAATATACAAAGTCATGCAAAGCAAGGGTCTGAATCCAAGAATACTCTACCCAGCAAGGCTATCAATCAAAATG